CTCGTGCCTCATCGGGAGGCTGATGTGCAGGCCACGGCTGCCCACATGCAGCTGGGCTTCCCGGGGCAAACAGCAACCCTCAGCACAGCCCAAGGCTGAGAAAGCCACCAGGAAGAGAGGCAAGCTCAAGGGGCTGAGTGCAGGGACGCCTTTCTTCCTCCCGGGCCGCTTCCCCTCCTTTGTGCTTTTGCTAGCGGTCCTTGGAGAGCAAAGGGATGCTCACAGCCTGTGGCCAGCAGTTACAGGTGGGCTGAAAGGCCACCCGTTGGGAAGACCAACAAGGAAACAGGGGAAAACCAGCAGAATTTCAGGGGAGAGCCGACAGGTTCATGGCCCCACAACTGCAAGTCCAAGCACGGGACCTTTTGACCAGCTACAGAAAGAGGCAGCACCGTGTTTAAAAAGTTGGTTTCGCTTTTATTCAATACAAAAGGCTCTGGGTTGTATTTATCAACACAGCCCAGAATGAAACCCCAGCGTTCAGGGTTTCTGCTTAGCAATGAGTAATTCAGCCTCCAGGCAGACACGAGGAGAAGCCTGACCCTGTGGCTACATCAGGTCCTCTCCCTCCAGGCCCGTCTAGCCGTACTTCAATCTCATACTAGACCGGCCCTGGCCCTGAAGAGACACAGCCAGAAGGAACACAGCCTCTCCATCTCTTGCCATAGATGAAGACCTGCCTCTGGCAAGCCCTCTTTGCTTGGAATGCAGCACAAGCCCTTCCCTTCCAGGTGCCTCAGTTCCGCTGCACTGTCCGTGACAGGGAAAGCACGGCCATGCCAGAAAACCAGGTGACTCAGTCCGCTGCCTTTGGTGCCACCTCCGAGGAAGCATTCCAGCTGATTCGAGCGTCCTGTGGGCCTTCTCGCTCAAGCCCTTCTCAGTTCTTTTTGCTCTCCTTCTGGGCTTTCTTCTGCAGCCGAGCAGCACTTGCCTTGGCTTTCTTCACTGTCTTGCCAGACCGAGTCCCAAGACTGTGCCAGTCCTACAAGAATCAAGGCAGAAACGGTCAGTGAAGCTTCACAGCTAACAAGCGGCTGACAGCTCGCGTGGGGAGATCAAGCCACCGCCCGGGCAGCTTTGGCTGCCAGCACTGGAAACCGCCTTCCTGCCATCAGGGCACGCCAGAAACTCCACCTCTATCTCCTGCCCAGAAGTCCCACACAAACCAGAACTCAAAGCCATCTCCTGCAAGGCAGCGCCTGCACAGGGCTTGGACACTGCCTGGCAGCACACACAGCACAGCAGCAGCAGCAGCAGATGAGCAGCACCCCAAGGCTCCTGGCGTGCATCAGGAACACGCGCACACGGAAGGAAGGGCAGGACAAACGACGGCACGCTCAGCAGTGCCGGGCACAGCACCGTAGGCCACAGCTACAGATTGTTCCCTCCCTGCCCATTGCCCGTGCCTTGCTATCAGCCTCAGAGAGCACGACTTACTGGCTTATGGCACCTGGAAACTGGCACAACTGCAGCTCACGCAGAGCAGCTGCCAAGTGGCTCCACAGAAGAGATGGTGGCACAGCACGTTCTCCGCCAGCGTGGGCTCGGGGATCTCAGCTGGGAGAAATGCCCACAGCAGCCACACAGCAGGCAGCCTGCTGCTCTCCTACTCTCAAGGAGGCTGCTTTCTACAAGAGGGGAGAAGGAGTCGTTATTCTCTCATGCACACTGCTGTTACAGGCTGACTTAGAGCTGTTCTGAACATCTCCTTGCTCTACTGACCCAATGACAACGAAGGACACAAAACCTGCAGCTGTGCCATGTCTTCCACCTGCCAAGGAAAAGATTCCTCAAGCTTGAGCATTGCTCCACTTGCAGGCGAGGGGAGCAGGAGCTGAAAAGTACAGGAGGACACAAAAGAAGGGAAAAGCTTAACAGAAAGCAGACCTGCTGCAGACAGTGCCACCAGCTGTGTTTGAACAGCAGTGCCTTAGCGCATGCTCACAGTAAGGCACACCTACCTTGCAAGGGCCGCTCAGGAAGGTTGTGACCCATTGCTCCATTGCTCCCCTGAGTCCCAACTCCATTTCTCAGCCACTCACATGCCTCGATGTTCTGCAACAGAAAAGTCACAAGACAGAAATTCAATTCATTGCAGATGCCATCAAACCTCCCTTCTCAGGGCAGTCGCACTCATTTCTCTGCAGGATAAATTAGGGGAGGGCTTACCGAGTGAGCAGCATTTACTGCCAGCTGGCAGCAGCAACCTATGCCTAACTCTACACTCCTAACAGTAACCTATGCCTAACTCTAAGCTCCTAACAGTAACCTATGCCTAACTCTACACTCCTAACAGTAACCTATGCCTAACGCTAAAACTGAACTCAACACTAAAACTAAGCTAACACTAAAATCAACAACAAAGTCCAGAACAAAGCCTAACTCCTACGGGGGGAAGATGGAACTGGGGGCCCGCAGAACCGCAGAGGAGCAACAAGGTGGAGGAGGAGCAGATGTTAGCAATGCCACCCAGCTAATGCCGGGGGCGGGGGCCGCGCAGAGGGTAAGGGGCCGAGCGCCCGGACCAGCGATGGCGGAGCTGTGAGCGCGCCAACACAGGGCCTGGCACGGTGGTGTGGTGCCAGGCCAGCTGTGCCGCAGGCGGATCCACCTCCATGGGTTCCTCTGGAGGCGGATCCACCTCCATGGGCTCCTCTGGAGGCGGATCCACCTCCATGGGCTCCCCATGGTCGCTCACAGCGCTGGCCCGGGCGCGATGGAACCGGGCTCCCTTCCTCCTCTCCCTCCTCTGCCTGATGGTCATGGTGGGCCCCCTCCTCCTCTTTGGTTCTGGGGCCCCCAGCTCCCTCTTCCCATTTAAAACCGCTCTCTCCTCCTCCGCTCTCGCTCTCTTCGTGCTGGACATGGCTGCCACCTGCCCAGCACTCTCAGAGACGAGTGCGCCGGGTGGGGCGGCAGTGACCAAGGTGACGGCTGTGACATGGGGAAGGTTCCACAATGGCACCTGTGCTGCTGGGAGCGGCGTTCCGCACGGGATGAGGAGGGGGCTGCAGGGCACGGGACGGCGGCGAGAAGGCGCTCCCTGTGCCCAGCGGGCAGCCCTTCTCTGCGGCCAGCAACAGGGCACAGAGGAGCCGGCCCCAAGGAAAGGGCCCGCAGCCTCCTTCGCCCTCTGCACATCACATACAGGCGGTGCAGCACCAGGGCACTGACGTTGCATTTCCTGAACATGCAGCGTTTGGGACGCTGCCTTACTCCTGTGTTTGCATCAAATGCAACACGGAGGGAAACGCGCAGTGATTTCCCATTTCTAATGAAATAAAAGTGGTGAAGCAACAACTGATGTTTTCAGAATTGCTGTCACGGTTATCCTGTAGGCACGGGAATCCAAGCCTCCACCACCTGCTGCTTTAACTGCAGCCACATTTAACTCACCTATTGTGCCACTCACATTGGGCAGCTCTGCTTTCCCTCACTCAGAGTGCAGAAACATTTCTATTTCTTAAAGTTAAGATATTATTTATAATAAGATTCAATTTATTATAAGGTATTATTTCATATCTTTGAGGCAACAGACCAATCGTTGGACAAATTCCACATGGGTATGAAACGTCTGTGCCCACATTGCTCTCAGGAGGTGCAGTGTATGAACATTTAAAGCCACACAGCAGATTCACGCTTCCTCTGACGCCAGACGTGTCAGAAGAACAGAAAAATCTTTACTTGGTGTTTCTCTCCTCGTTGGAAACCTATTTCAGAATTTGTAAGTCACAAAAGTAAACGTGCAAAAGGTGGTGGTTTGAAGTCGGGCACACATGTAGCCACGTTTTCTACTGCACACACAAAAGGCAGCTTAGCTGCACTCTGTAAAAATGCTGCAGTCCAAGAACTGCTATCAGCTGCACAGCTTTGACATTACAAAGAAAAGTTATTCACCAAACAACTTGTCTGCATTCTCTGAACATTGGATGATTGTAAAGAAAAAGCCACCTGCTTGCACTGATGGATTTCTCATTTATTATTTGCAACAGCTTCAGAGGCAGCATGCGTAACAGTGCCAAGAAGAGATGTGACACAACGTGGAAAAATTAAGGCTGTGGAAGGGAGAATACATGCCCTCTGTAAACGCTGTCAGATTTTTTTTCCATGCAGGCCATTTGGGATGCAGTAGTAAGAACTGTACTCAAGTCTTATTACTAAGCTACACTGCCTTTATCTTTTCAATTACTGCAGCCTGGTTTTCCATCCAGCCTCAGTATCTATCAACTGGGGGGGCCTCTTCAAACCTCACAGAGATGGGAACATGCCTCGGTCATCCTGATGCCCTGCAAAGTATCATCACACCTACGGGGCCTAGAGGGAGGATTCCTTCGTACATGGAAGGGTTTGGGCTGGAAAGGACCTTTAAGATCACCTAGTGCCAACTCCCCTGCTATAAGCAGGGACACCTTCTGCTAGACCAGATTGCTCAAAGCCCCATCCAGTCTGACCTGGAATGCTTCCAGGGAGGAGGAAGCATCCACAACCTCTCTGGGCAACCTCTTTCAGTGTGTCACCACCATCACAGTAAAGAATTTTCTTCCTAATATCGAGTCTAAGATTCATTCTAGTTTCTTCTTGCACCAGCAGCCAGGAAAAGTTGCCCCAGAATTTCCAACAACTCTACACATACACGTACACACAAACACATCATCTCAAATCCATGTACAGATCTGATGTGAAACTCACCAGTGAGCAAGATGTGCCCTGCAGCACCTACCCATGGGCATACACACGCTCTCTTGGATCCTTAAGATTGGGCCTAGGCTTTGGGTGCACCCAGGTGCCCTGCCTGGGATCTGAGTTATTGCCCTTGTGGCAGCCACGACTCTGGGTCTCTGCAGAGCCTGCTGTCTTCCTCCTCCTGCAGCCATCCCCACCTTGGCCAGCAAAGCATGCAGACATTCAGCCCAAAGACACACAAGAGTGAGTGTTGTCTGAAACACCATTATCTACATTTTCAAGTTCTGAGATCCTAAGCTTGCTGTGGAGAGCCTGGAAGCTCTGAGCTCTCTCACTCGACCCCACATTGTGGATGTTGAAGTTGGAATTATCAGTCAGAGTCTTAGTTTTGATGTCATCTACCCGCAAAGCCTTTGACGTGGTCCCTCCCCACATCCTTCTCTCTAAATTGGAGAGGTGTGGATTTGAAGGATGGACTGTTCAGTGGATTAAGAATTGGTTGGCTGGTCCCAGCAAAGGGTTGTGATCAATGGTTTGTGTCCGGGTGGAGGCCGCTCACAAGCGGTGTCCCTCAGGGGTCGGTCCTGGGACCGGTGCTCTTCAACATCTTCATCAGTGACAGACGATGGCATCAAGGGCACCTCAGCAAGTTTGCAGATGGCACCAGGCTGAGCGGTGCAGTTGATACATTGGAAGGAAGGGAAGCCATCCAGAGGGAGCTGGACAGGCTGGAGAAGTGGGCCCATGAAAACATGATGAGGTTCAATAAGGCCAAGTGCAGGGTGCTACACTGGGTCGGGGCAATGCCAGGTATTTATACAAACTGGGGGAAGATCTCCTGGAGAGCAGCCCTGCAGAGAAGGACTTGGGGGTCCTGGTGGACGAGAAGCTGGACATGAGCCAGCAGCGTGATTGCGGCCTGGAAGGCCAGCTGTGTTCTGGGCTGCATTAAAGAAGGGGCAGCCAGCAGGAGAGGGAGGTGATCGTCCTCCAATTAGAAACTGGGCGATAGAAACTAGGCGTGCGTGTGAAGAGAGTGAAGGTGGGCACTGATGCTGGTATCCAGGAGGTCCCCTGTTCTGCTACTGAGCTGGCCAAATTCCAGAAGGATTTTGGTCACACTCGTAGGAAATCAGAGACAGAGTATGAATGGAAAATGCCACTAACGGGGAGAACAGATGCTGTTAACTGAAAAGGAATCCGAGGGGTTTTGGGGACCCAGAATATCTTTCACCCTGGCAACCACTGTGCCCTGTGGTCCCTTACTCAAAGAGCTGCTTGCTGGGATGGCTTCTCCCCAGGACAACTGGCGTTGGTTGGTTTGCTGCACATTGGTCCTGTGTCCTTAACCACTTCTTTGCACACAGCTTTCCAGAGCTGTGTCATTAAAAATAAACCTGTGATCCACAGACGTTTCATCTGTGATGCTTTTGAAGTTGTGTTACAATGAATTTCACATGGTTCCTGTGTTCTACTGGGGAACCTAACTTTAATTTCATGCCTCTTTTCCTAGAGAAGCACAGCACAGCTGGTGCACCATCTCAACTCTTGCTTTCAACCCCCAGGTTCCAGCAGGTCTGACTCCCAGCTCAGCACATCTCCTGGCTGCTCCTCCTGGAAATGGGCTCTGGCCACCAGCAGCAGCAGGGGAACTTGTCTGTGCCCAGCTGTCACTCAGGCTGCTGCCTCTTATTCATCTCTTGCTCGTCCATTCATCTTGTGTGAAAAGAAAATTCTCCATCGCTCTGCTCCGTTCTGTTTGCAAGCAAGGCAAATTTTTCTATTTTATTCTTTTGTTTGTAGGTTTGTTGCTGTTACGTTCAAGTGATGCCCTCCTCCCCAGAGCTGGATCAGCCCAGAACTGTTTCCCACTCCTGCACTTCTCTGTTTAACGCACTATACTGCACTTGGTGAATGACCAGATTTTATGCTTTCCAGGTGATTGTGAAGCAATCGCCGTTGTGTCTTGATTTCTCTAGAGACTTATTTCTGCCTAGGGCAGCACACACTGCTAACCTACAGCAGCTATCACTTCTATTTCTGCACTGAATGAACACTCAGAGTATTTAGGGCCCCGATGTCCCGATCCTCTGGGCTATGGATGCTGTGGCCGTGGAAGTGAGACAGAGTAACTGAAGATGGAGGAGCGTTTCATGAGAGCAAACTGATCAATTGTGTACCTGCAGCTTGTCTCTCCAGCTCACAACCTTTCACGAATAATGGAAGGTGTGCAAGATGAATGGCACGTTTGTCCCAGTCCTCCTCCTCCTCTTCCTCCCCTCGCCCCTTGTTCCACCCCTCCCCTACCTCACACCTGGATGCATCTGTCCCTGCCTCCAGGAGACAAAGCTGCTGTGGGCGCCATCCTGCTCGAACTGCAGGGGACTTGTTTGCACGGTGCTCTGCTTACTGATGCCCTAGCACCAGGAGAACACAAAGTAAGTCACAGTCTCGTTAAGCTCCTGCTTAATGAACGTGTTGAAGTACCTTTCTGACTGGAGGAAGAAACACTGAACAATGTTGCTATGATGGTAAGGTAAGTGGATGAGGCGGTGGGTGTAGATGCAGTTTGCAGGAGTGGGCAGGCAGAGCACAAGCAGCCATTCCACTGTACAAAAGCTCAAATAGGATTTTATTGTCAGTTTGCAAAACAGATTTAAAAGATCTTTATTTGAAACAGTCACAGGTGATGACTCACCATTGGATAAGCCAATTCCTGTCTACAAAAAGTAGTTAGCCTAGCTAACATTTCTGAAAGCAGCGCAAAAGAGCGCGGAGATGTTTTTCTATCTGCTGCAATGAGTAGAGCTGGCTCTGCTGTGTCCTCTGGCAGCAGAATGTTTGCTGCAGATCGGAGGCTGCAGGCAACCCGTGGGGCTGAAGCCAACTGCTTTGTGAGAGCAAAGCTTTGTTGCCATTCAGGGGGAGGAATTGGAGGTAATGTGGTCTCAGTCCATGCCTAGAATCAGAGAATACAAAGTGGGGGGTAGTTTTAAACCAAACGCACAGACACTTGATCAGATAGCCACTTTTCAAGCATTCCTCTCTCAGATCTGCACCCCCTGATTTCAGCTCCGATGCTGTCTTTGCATGCAGCTGCCTCCAGCAACATTTCAGACACACCTGTGTTACTCTTGCATGATGTCTTCACTCTGACCCATCAGCACCACGTGGGGAAAACCACAGCACTTCCCAAAGACTTCCTCCTATAAATCGACAGGAAGACTTCATAATTAACATAATTCTAGCAAAGCTGAAATCAATGCAAAGGGGACTGTGCTTCGTAGCACAGTGTGCTCAGAAGCAGTTAACAGAAATTTTGCTGAGAGAAAATGCTTAGAAAGTAATGGAAGTACCACTCCATGCACAGACAGGACTTCTGCCCAGCCACAGGCCATAAATACAGAGCAGAGCAAAGCAGCATGCAGCCATCGGAAATACGGCCTGCAGGAGGCAGAGGCTCACGTGTGCCAGAGAGCATCAAGCTGCTCCATCCTGGTGGGTGTGTGCTGAAGCACCATTGTGCAAGGCCAGCATCTGCCGTGCGCTCAAGCAAGGCACGCATCTACACTGCTGGGCACTGCTGGTCCTAATAGCCCAGGGCTCAAAAGTTCTCGTGAGCTGTCAGAAAAGCAGGCCCAGCGTGGAGCTGGGTGGCTCTTCTGGAACAAAGCTCTGCCTCTCTGTAGCTAACAACAAGCACAGGAGTCCCAGCTGTATCCCGAGCGCGGCTTTGGAGCAAAAACAAACTGGACTCTCCTTTCTGGTGCTGCTCTGGCATTCCGTTTGCTGTGTATAAGGAGAAGATCCAGAGCAGATTCCCTCTCTTAGTCAGGGATGGGGGAACATACCTCTGGAAAGAAGATGCGGTGGTAGGGGTGCTGATTGTGGAGGCAAACAACATCCAGGGTTGGTGCAGATGGCTGAGCAGGCCCATGGAGTTGTTCCAGGCACGAGGAAGCCGGGAGTTCACCATGAACGAGTCCATTTGTGCTGCCAAAGCAGGCAGCTCTTTCTAGGAAGGGCTGATGAAAGATGCTTCTGGGACAGAGCTGGGGGTCTGAGGAGAGCAGAGTGACCTGGGGAAGGGCACAGCTGAACAACCCTGCTTTCTACGTGTGTGCTTAACAAGATTTATGGGTAAGATGAAATGGAATGGAGCAGATAGATAGATAGATAGATAGGTGCACACAAAACAGTTGCTGGATTGAATATTTTAGGTCTTCTCTACAGTGAAAGAATTGAGTCAGATGGGGGGACACGTTTTGAAAGTTCCCTTGCAAATATTTGGGCCAAAGATCTTGGCATCCAGAGGGCTTATCTCACATTCCCTTGCATGCACCAGCTGCTGGTAAGATCCAACGGTGCTGTTGAAACGATGTTGAAGGCAATGCGGGGAAGAACATTAAAGCAGTGGGAAAAGCATTTGGCAGAAGCCACCTGCTTGGCCAGCGCTCAAGGATCGATGAGCCTAGACCGTTGTAGTGGAAATGCTGATTCCACGAGGTATCTGACTGTGAAGGCTGTATGGGAGCTGCTGAATCACAGCCTGAACCTCTGGTCGATCACCTGAGGCGAGCGCTGATCAGCCCTGGGAGCACAGTGAAGGCAATGCGCTGTGCTGCTGGGAGGGACGGAGCCTGGCTGCGCCTCTCCTGGACCCCATTGCAGAGCTGGCTGCCAGCGGGGAAGAGTCTCTTTAAAGATCCCTCCTGTGCAGTGTTGCAGTGAGCCCAGGATAAGGGAGAGCCCTTTATCTATTATTTTGGTGTCATAACCTGCTTCGCCAAACTCCCTTGTGTATTTCCAAATTACAGCACCTGTATCATCACTGATTATACAGAAAACTAAAGAGATCACATAAGAACGTAACTCACAGAAAGCATTCCAGCCCACTGCCCGATCACAACATTGTTTATTGGAAGAGTCACACAAAAACATTTACTGAAATATTATGAAAATACTATAGTATAATACATATAAATATATTTCATTAAGGCATATGAAAATAAACATATTTATTTACATTTAAATAAGGCATATGGAAAAAATTAATATATCTATTTATATTTAACTAAGGTATATACCTTCAAATTAACATAGATCCTATGGAATTTAAGACATATGCCTTCAGAATTAACTTAGTTGCAATGCAATTAAAGGCATCTGCCTGCAGAATTAACTTAGATGCAATGCAATTAAAGGCATATGCCTACATAATTAACTTAGTTGCAATGCAATTAAAGGCATATGCCTGCAGAATTAACATAGATGCATTGTAATTAAAGGCATATACCTGCAGAATTAACTTAGATGCTATGGAATTAAATGCATATGCCTTCAGAATTAACTTAGATGCTATGGAATTAAAGGCATATGCCTTCAGAATTAACTTAGATGCAATGCAATTAAAGGCATATGCCTTCAGAATTAACTTAGATGCTATGGAATTAAAGACATATGCCTACAGAATTAACTTAGATGCAATGGATTTAAACGCATATGCCTGAAGAATTACCTTAGATGCTATGGAATTAAAGACATATGCCTGCAGAATAAACTTAGATGCAATGGAATTAAAGGCATATGCCTTCAGAATTAACTTAGATGCTATGGAACTAAAGGCATATGCCTGCAGAATTAACTTAGATTCTATGGAATTAAAGGTATATGCCTGCAGAATTAACTTAGATGCAATGCAATTAAAGGCATATGCCTGCAGAATTAACTTAGATGCTATGGAATTAAAGGCATATGCCTTCAGAATTAACTTAGATGCAATGCAATTAAAGGCATATGCCTGCAGAATTAACTTAGATGCAATGCAATTAAAGGCATATGCCTGCAGAATTAACTTAGATGCTATGCAATTAAAGGCATATGCCTGCAGAATGAACTTAGATGCAATGCAATTAAAGGCATATGCCTGCAGAATTAACTTAGATGCTGTGGAATTAAAGGCATATGCCTGCAGAATTAACTTAGATGCAATGCAATTAAAGGCATATGCCTTCAGAATTAACTTAGATGCTATGGAATTAAAGGCATATGCCCTTCAGAATTAACTTAGATGCAATGCAATTAAAGGCATATGCCTGCAGAATTAACTTAGATGCAATGCAATTAAAGGCATATGCCTGCATAATGAACTTAGATGCTATGCAATTAAAGGCATATGCCTTCAGAATTAACTTAGATGCAATGCAATTAAAGGCATATGCCTTCAGAATTAACTTAGATGCTATGGAATTAAAGGCATATGCCTGCAGAATTAACTTAGATGCAATGCAATTAAAGGCATATGCCTTCAGAATTAACTTAGATGCTATGGAATTAAAGGCATATGCCTTCAGAATTAACTTAGATGCAATGCAATTAAAGGCATATGCCTTCAGAATTAACTTAGATGCTATGGAATTAAAGGCATATGCCTGCAGAATTAACTTAGATGCAATGCAATTAAAGGCATATGCCTTCAGAATTAACTTAGATGCAATGCAATTAAAGGCATATGCCTGCAGAATTAACTTAGATGCAATGCAATTAAAGGCATATGCCTGCAGAATTAACTTAGATGCTATGGAATTAAAGGCATATGCCTGCAGAATTAACTTAGATGCTATGGAATTAAAGGCATATGCCTTGCAGAATTAACTTAGATGCTATGGAATTAAAGGCATATGCCTGCAGAATTAACTTAGATGCTATGCAATTAAAGGCATATGCCTGCAGAATTAACTTAGATGCTATGCAATTAAAGGCATATGCCTTCAGAATTAACTTAGATGCTATGGAATTAAAGGCATATGCCTGCAGAATTAACTTAGATGCAATGCAATTAAAGGCATATGCCTTCAGAATTAACTTAGATGCAATGCAATTAAAGGCATATGCCTTCAGAATTAACTTAGATGCTATGGAATTAAAGGCATATGCCTTCAGAATTAACTTAGATGCTATGGAATTAAAGGCATATGCCTGCAGAATTAACTTAGATGCAATGCAATTAAAGGCATATGCCTTCAGAATTAACTTAGATGCAATGCAATTAAAGGCATATGCCTTCAGAATTACCTTAGATGCAATGCAATTAAAGGCATATGCCTGCAGAATTAACTTAGATGCAATGCAATTAAAGGCATATGCCTTCAGAATTAACTTAGATGCAATGCAATTAAAGGCATATGCCTTCAGAATTAACTTAGATGCTATGGAATTAAAGGCATATGCCTGCAGAATTAACTTAGATGCAATGGAATTAAAGGCATATGCCTTCAGAATTAACTTAGATGCTATGGAATTAAAGGCATATGCCTGCAGAATTAACTTAGATGCAATGCAATTAAAGGCATATGCCTTCAGAATTAACTTAGATGCTATGGAATTAAAGGCATATGCCTGCAGAATTAACTTAGATGCAATGCAATTAAAGGCATATGCCTTCAGAATTAACTTAGATGCAATGCAATTAAAGGCATATGCCTTCAGAATTAACTTAGATGCTATGCAATTAAAGGCATATGCCTTCAGAATTAACTTAGATGCAATGGAATTAAAGGCATATGCCTGCAGAATTAACTTAGATGCTATGCAATTAAAGGCATATGCCTTCAGAATTAACTTAGATGCAATGCAATTAAAGGCATATGCCTTCAGAATTAACTTAGATGCAATGCAATTAAAGGCATATGCCTTGAGAATTAACTTAGATGCTATGCAATTAAAGGCATATGCCTTCAGAATTAACTTAGATGCTATGGAATTAAAGGCATATGCCTTCAGAATTAACTTAGATGCAATGCAATTAAAGGCATATGCCTTCAGAATTAACTTAGATGCAATGCAATTAAAGGCATATGCCTTCAGAATTAACTTAGGTGCTATGGAATTAAAGGCATATGCCTTGCAGAATTAACTTAGATGCTATGCAATTAAAGGCATATGCCTTCAGAATTAACTTAGATGCTATGGAATTAAAGGCATATGCCTTCAGAATTAACTTAGATGCTATTGCAATTAAAGGCATATGCCTGCATAATGAACTTAGATGCAATGTAATTAAAGGCATATGCCTTCAGAATTAACTTAGATGCTACGGAATTAAAGGCATATGCCTGCAGAATTCACATAAATGCAATGCAATTAAAGGCATATGCCTGCAGAATTAACTTAGATGCAATGCAATTAAAGGCATATGCCTGCATAATTAACTTAGATGCTATGCAATTAAAGGCATATGCCTGCAGAATTAACTTAGATGCTATGCAATAAAAGGCATATGCCTTCAGAATTAACTTAGATGCTATGGAATTAAAGGCATATGCCTTCAGAATTAACTTAGATGCTATGCAATTAAAGGCATATGCCTGCAGAATTAACTTAGATGCAATGCAATTAAAGGCATTTGCCCTCAGAATTAACATAGATGCAGTGCAATTAAAGGCATATGCCTTCAGAATTAACTTAGATGCACTGCAATTAAAGGCATATGCCTGCATAATGAACTTAGATGCTATGCAATTAAAGGCATATGCCTTCAGAATTAACTTAGATGCAATGCAATTAAAGGCATATGCCTTCAGAATTAACTTAGATGCAATGCAATTAAAGGCATATGCCTGCAGAATTAACTTAGATGCAATGCAATTAAAGGCATATGCCTTCAGAATTAACTTAGATGCAATGCAATTAAAGGCATATGCCTTCAGAATTAACTTAGATGCTATGGAATTAAAGGCATATGCCTGCAGAATTAACTTAGATGCTATGGAATTAAAGGCATATGCCTGCAGAATTAACTTAGATGCAATGCAATTAAAGGCATATGCCTGCAGAATTAACTTAGATGCAATGCAATTAAAGGCATATGCCTTCAGAATTAACTTAGATGCAATGCAATTAAAGGCATATGCCTTCAGAATTAACTTAGATGCTATGGAATTAAAGGCATATGCCTGCAGAATTAACTTAGATGCTATGGAATTAAAGGCATATGCCTGCAGAATTAACTTAGATGCAATGCAATTAAAGGCATATGCCTTCAGAATTAACTTAGATGCTATGGAATTAAAGGCATATGCCTGCAGAATTAACTTAGATGCTATGGAATTAAAGGCATTTGCCCTCAGAATTAACTTAGATGCAATGCAATTAAAGGCATATGCCTGCATAATGAACTTAGATGCAATGCAATTAAAGGCATATGCCTGCAGAATTAACTTAGATGCAATGCAATTAAAGGCATATGCCTGCAGAATTAACTTAGATGCTATGCAATTAAAGGCATATGCCTCAGAATTAACTTAGATGCAATGGAATTAAAGGCATATGCCTTCAGAATTAACTTAGATGCAATGCAATTAAAGGCATATGCCTGCATAATGAACTTAGATGCAATGCAATTAAAGGCATATGCCTTCAGAATTAACTTAGATGCAATGCAATTAAAGGCATATGCCTTCAGAATTAACTTAGATGCAATGCAATTAAAGGCATATGCCTGCAGAATTAACTTAGATGCAATGCAATTAAAGGCATATGCCTGCAGAATTAACTTAGATGCTATGCAATTAAAGGCATATGCCTTCAGAATTAACTTAGATGCAATGCAATTAAAGGCATATGCCTTCAGAATTAACTTAGATGCTATGGAATTAAAGGCATATGCCTTCAGAATGAACTTTAGATGCTATGGAATTAAAGGCATATGCCTTCAGAATTAACTTAGATGCTATGGAATTAAAGGCATATGCCTGCAGAATTCACATAAATGCAATGCAATTAAAGGCATATGCCTGCAGAATTCACTTAGATGCAATGCAATTAAAGGCATATGCCTGCATAATTAACTTAGATGCTATGCAATTAAAGGCATATGCCTGCATAATGAACTTAGATGCTATGCAATTAAAGGCATATGCCTTCAGAATTAACTTAGATGCTATGGAATTAAAGGCATATGCCTTCAGAATTAACTTAGATGCTATACAATAAAAGGCATATGCCTGCAGAATTAACTTAGATGCAATGCAATTAAAGGCATATGCCTTCAGAATTAACTTAGATGCTATGGAATTAAAGGCATATGCCTTCAGAATTAACTTAGATGCTATGGAATTAAAGGCATATGCCTTCAGAATTAACTTAGATGCTATGGAATTAAAGGCATATGCCTGCAGAATTAACTTAGATGCTATGCAATTAAAGGCATATGCCTGCAGAATTAACTTAGATGCAATGCAATTAAAGGCATATGCCTTCAGAATTAACTTAGATGCAATGCAATTAAAGGCATATGCCTTCAGAATTAACTTAGATGCTATGGAATTAAAGGCATATGCCTGCAGAATTAACTTAGATGCTATGGAATTAAAGGCATATGCCTGCAGAATTAACTTAGATGCAATGCAATTAAAGGCATATGCCTTCAGAATTAACTTAGATGCTATGGAATTAAAGGCATATGCCTGCAGAATTAACTTAGATGCTATGGAATTAAAGGCATTTGCCCTCAGAATTAACTAAGATGCAATGCAATTAAAGGCATATGCCTGCATAATGAACTTAGATGCTATGCAATTAAAGGCATATGCCTTCAGAATTAACTTAGATGCAATGCAATTAAAGGCATATGCCTGCAGAATTAACTTAGATGCTATGCAATTAAAGGCATATGCCTTCAGAATTAACTTAGATGCTATGGAATTAAAGGCATATGCCTGCAGAATTAACTTAGATGCAATGCAATTAAAGGCATATGCCTGCATAATGAACTTAGATGCAATGCAATTAAAGGCATATGCCTTCAGAATTAACTTAGATGCAATGCAATTAAAGGCATATGCCTTCAGAATTAACTTAGATGCAATGCAATTAAAGGCATATGCCTGCATAATGAACTTAGATGCAATGCAATTAAAGGCATATGCCTTCAGAATTAACTTAGATGCAATGCAATTAAAGGCATATGCCTTCAGAATTAACTTAGATGCTATGGAATTAAAGGCATATGCCTGCAGAATTAACTTAGATGCAATGCAATTAAAGGCATATGCCTGCATAATGAACTTAGATGCAATGCAATTAAAGGCATATGCCTTCAGAATTAACTTAGATGCTATGGAATTAAAGGCATATGCCTTGCAGAATTAACTTAGATGCAATGCAATTAAAGGCATATGCCTGCAGAATTAACTTAGATGCAATGCAATTAAAGGCATATGCCTGCATAATTAACTTAGATGCAATGCAATTAAAGGCATATGCCTGCATAATGAACTTAGATGCAATGCAATTAAAGGCATATGCCTTCAGAATTAACTTAGATGCAATGCAATTAAAGGCATATGCCTTCAGAATTAACTTAGATGCTATGCAATTAAAGGCATATGCCTGCAGAATTAACTTAAATGCAATGCAATTAAAGGCATATGCCTTCAGAATTAACTTAGATGCTATGGAATTAAAGGCATATGCCTGCAGAATTAACTTAGATGCTATGGAATTAAAGGCATATGCCTTCAGAATTAACTTAGATGCAATGCAATTAAAGGCATATGCCTGCAGAATTAACTTAGATGCTATGGAATTAAAGGCATATGCCTTCAGAATTAACTTAGATGCTATGGAATTAAAGGCATATGCCTGCAGAATTAACTTAGATGCAATGCAATTAAAGGCATATGCCTGCATAATGAACTTAGATGCTATGGAATTAAAGGCATATGCCTGCATAATTAACTTAGATGCAATGCAATTAAAGGCATATGCCTGCATAATGAACTTAGATGCAATGCAATTAAAGGCATATGCCTTCAGAATTAACTTAGATGCAATGCAATTAAAGGCATATGCCTTCAGAATTAACTTAGATGGTATGGAATTAAAGGCATATGCCTGCAGAATTAACTTAGATGCTATGGAATTAAAGGCATATGCCTTCAGAATTAACTTAGATGCTATGGAATTAAAGGCATATGCCTGCAGAATTAACTTAGATGCAATGCAAGTAAACGCATCTGCCTTCAGAATAAACTTAGATGCAATGCAACTAAAGGCATATGCCTGCAGAATTAACTTAGATGCAATGCAATTAAAGGCATATGCCTTCAGAATTAACTTAGATGCAATGGAATTAAAGGCAAATGCCTTCAGAATTAACTTAGAAGCTATGGAATTAAAGGCATATGCCTGCAGAATTAACTTAGATGCAATGCAATTAAAGGCATATGCCTGCATAATGAACTCAGATGCAATGCAATTAAAGGCATTTGCCCTCAGAATTACCTTAGATGCAATGCAATTAAAGGCATATGCCTGCATAATGAACTTAGATGCAATGCAATTAAAGGCATATGCCTTCAGAATTAACTTAGATGCTATGGAATTAAAGGCATATGCCTTCAGAATTAACTTAGATGCTATGGAATTAAAGGCATATGCCTGCAGAATTAACTTAGATGCAATGCAATTAAAGGCATATGCCTTCAGAATTAACTTAGATGCTATGCAATTAAAGGCATATGCCTGCATAATGAACTTAGATGCTATGGAATTAAAGGCATATGCCTGCAGAATTAACTAAGATGCAATGCAATTAAAGGCATATGCCTGCAGAATTAACTTAGATGCAATGCAATTAAAGGCATATGCCTGCATAATGAACTTAGATGCTATGCAATTAAAGGCATATGCCTTCAGAATTAACTTAGATGCAATGCAATTAAAGGCATATGCCTTCAGAATTAACTTAGATGCAATGCAATTAAAGGCATATGCCTTCAGAATTAACTTAGATGCAATGCAATTAAAGGCATATGCCTTCAGAATTAACTTAGATGCTATGGAATTAAAGGCATATGCCTTCAGAATTAACTTAGATGCAATGCAATTAAAGGCATATGCCTGCAGAATTAACTTAGATGCAATGCAAGTAAACGCATCTGCCTTCAGAATAAACTTAGATGCAATGCAACTAAAGGCATATGCCTGCAGAATTAACTTAGATGCTATGGAATTAAAGGCATATGCCTCAGAATTAACTTAGATGCAATGCAATTAAACGCATCTGCCTTCAGAATGAACTTAGATGCAATGGAATTAAAGGGCAAATGCCTTCAGAATTAACTTAGAAGCTATGGAATTAAAGGCATATGCCTGCAGAATTAACTTAGATGCAATGCAATTAAAGGCATATGCCTGCATAATGAACTCAGATGCAATGCAATTAAAGGCATTTGCCCTCAGAATTACCTTAGATGCAATGCAATTAAAGGCATATGCCTGCATAATGAACTTAGATGCAATGCAATTAAAGGCATATGCCTGCATAATTAACTTAGATGCAATGCAATTAAAGGCATATGCCTTCAGAATTAACTTAGATGCTATGCAATTAAAGGCATATGCCTGCAGAATTAACTTAGATGCAATGCAATTAAAGGCATATGCCTTCAGAATTAACTTAGATGCTATGGAATTAAAGGCATATGCCTTCAGAATTAACTTAGATGCAATGCAATTAAAGGCATATGCCTGCAGAATTAACTTAGATGCAATGCAATTAAAGGCATATGCCTGCAGAATTAACTTAGATGCAATGCAATTAAAGGCATATGTCTGCAGAATTAACTTAGATGCAATGCAATTAAAGGCATATGCCTTCAGAATTAACTTAGATGCTATGCAATTAAAGGCATATGCCTTCAGAATTAACTTAGATGCTATGGAATTAAAGGCATATGCCTTCAGAATTAACTTAGATGCTATGCAATTAAAGGCATATGCCTTCAGAATTAACTTAGATGCAATGCAATTAAAGGCATATGCCTTCAGAATTAACTTAGATGCAATGCAATTAAAGGCATATGCCTGCAGAATTAACTTAGATGCTATGCAATTAAAGGCATATGCCTGCAGAATTAACTTAGATGCAATGCAATTAAAGGCATATGCCTGCAGAATTAACTTAGATGCTATGCAATTAAAGGCATATGACTGCATAATGAACTTAGATGCTATGGAATTAAAGGCATATGCCTGCATAATGAACTTAGATGCAATGCAATTAAAGGCATATGCCTTCAGAATTAACTTAGATGCTATGGAATTAAAGGCATATGCCTTCAGAATTAACTTAGATGCTATGCAATTAAAGGCATATGCCTTCAGAATTAACTTAGATGCTATGCAATTAAAGGCATATGCCTGCAGAATTAACTTAGATGCAATGCAATTAAAGGCATATGCCTTCAGAATTAACTTAGATGCTATGGAATTAAAGGCATATGCCTTCAGAATTAACTTAGATGCTATGGAATTAAAGGCATATGCCTTCAGAATTAACTTAGATGCTATGGAATTAAAGGCATATGCCTTCAGAATTAACTTAGATGCTATGGAATTAAAGGCATATGCCTTCAGAATTAACTTAGATGCTATGGAATTAAAGGCATATGCCTGCAGAATTAACTTAGATGCTATGGAATTAAAGGCATATGCCCTGCAGAATTAACTAAGATGCAATGCAATTAAAGGCATATGCCTGCATAATTAACTTAGATGCAATGGAATTAAAGGCATATGCCTGCATAATGAACTTAGATGCTATGCAATTAAAGGCATATGCCTGCATAATGAACTTAGATGCAATGCAATTAAAGGCATATGCCTTCAGAATTAACTTAGATGCTATGGAATTAAAGGCATATGCCTTCAGAATTAACTTAGATGCTATGGAATTAAAGGCATATGCCTTCAGAATTAACTTAGATGCAATGCAATTAAAGGCATATGCCTTCAGAATTAACTTAGATGCTATGGCAATTAAAGGCATATGCCTTCAGAATTAACTTAGATGCAATGCAATTAAAGGCATATGCCTTCAGAATTAACTTAGATGCAATGCAATTAAAGGCATATGCCTTCAGAATTAACTTAGATGCAATGCTAAAGGCATATGCCTGCAGAATTAACTTAGATGCTATGGAATTAAAGGCATATGCCTTCAGAATTAACTTAGATGCAATGCAATTAAAGGCATATGCCTGCATAATGAACTCAGATGCAATGCAATTAAAGGCATTTGCCCTCAGAATTACCTTAGATGCAATGCAATTAAAGGCATATGCCTGCATAATGAACTTAGATGCAATGCAATTAAAGGCATATGCCTGCAGAATTAACTTAGATGCAATGCAATTAAAGGCATATGCCTTCAGAATTAACTTAGATGCTATGGAATTAAAGGCATATGCCTGCAGAATTAACTTAGATGCAATGCAATTAAAGGAATATGCCTTCAGAATTAACTTAGATGCTATGGAATTAAAGGCATATGCCTTCAGAATTAACTTAGATGCTATGGAATTAAAGGCATATGCCTGCAGAATTAACTTAGATGCTATGCAATTAAAGGCATATGCCTTCAGAATTAACTTAGATGCAATGCAATTAAAGGCATATGCCTTCAGAATTAACTTAGATGCAATGCAATTAAAGGCATATGCCTTCAGAATTAACTTAGATGCAATGCAATTAAAGGCATATGCCTGCATAATGAACTTAGATGCAATGCAATTAAAGGCATATGCCTTCAGAATTAACTTAGATGCAATGCAATTAAAGGCATATGCCTTCAGAATTAACTTAGATGGTATGGAATTAAAGGCATATGCCTGCATAATTAACTTAGATGCAATGCAATTAAAGGCATATGCCTGCATAATGAACTTAGATGCAATGCAATTAAAGGCATATGCCTTCAGAATTAACTTAGATGCAATGCAATTAAAGGCATATGCCTTCAGAATTAACTTAGATGGTATGGAATTAAAGGCATATGCCTGCAGAATTAACTTAGATGCAATGCAATTAAAGGCATATGCCTTCAGAATTAACTTAGATGCTATGCAATTAAAGGCATATGCCTTGCAGAATTAACTTAGATGCTATGCAATTAAAGGCATATGCCTTCAGAATTAACTTAGATGCAATGCAATTAAAGGCATATGCCTTCAGAATTAACTTAGATGCAATGGAATTAAAGGCATATGCCTTCAGAATTAACTTAGATGCTATGGAATTAAAGGCATATGCCTTCAGAATTAACTTAGATGCTATGCAATTAAAGGCATATGCCTGCAGAATTAACTTAGATGCAATGCAATTAAAGGCATATGCCTTCAGAATTAACTTAGATGCTATGCAATTAAAGGCATATGCCTTCAGAATTAACTTAGATGCTATGCAATTAAAGGCATATGCCTTCAGAATTAACTTAGATGCTATGGAATTAAAGGCATATGCCTTCAGAATTAACTTAGATGCAATGCAATTAAAGGCATATGCCTTCAGAATTAACTTAGATGCTATGCAATTAAAGGCATATGCCTGCAGAATTAACTTAGATGCAATGCAATTAAAGGCATATGCCTTCAGAATTAACTTAGATGCAATGGAATTAAAGGCATATGCCTTCAGAATTAACTTAGATGCAATGCAATTAAAGGCATATGCCTGCAGAATTAACTTAGATGCAATGCAATTAAAGGCATATGCCTGCAGAATTAACTTAGATGCTATGGAATTAAAGGCATATGCCTTCAGAATTAACTTAGATGCAATGCAATTAAAGGCATATGCCTTCAGAATTAACTTAGATGCTATGGAATTAAAGGCATATGCCTGCAGAATTAACTTAGATGCAATGCAATTAAAGGCATATGCCTTCAGAATTAACTTAGATGCTATGGAATTAAAGGCATATGCCTTCAGAATTAACTTAGATGCTATGCAATTAAAGGCATATGCCTTCAGAATTAACTTAGATGCAATGCAACTAAAGGCATATGCCTGCATAATGAACTTAGATGCAATGCAATTAAAGGCATATGCCTTCAGAATTAACTTAGATGCTATGCAATTAAAGGCATATGCCTTCAGAATTAACTTAGATGCTATGGAATTAAAGGCATATGCCTTCAGAATTAACTTAGATGCTATGCAATTAAAGGCATATGCCTGCAGAATTAACTTAGATGCTATGGAATTAAAGGCATTTGCCCTCAGAATTAACTAAGATGCAATGCAATTAAAGGCATATGCCTGCAGAATTAACTTAGATGCAATGGAATTAAAGGCATATGCCTGCATAATGAACTTAGATGCTATGGAATTAAAGGCATATGCCTTCAAAATTAACTTAGATGCTATGGAAATAAAGGCATGTGCCTGCATAATGAACTTAGATGCAATGAAACTAAAGGCATATGCCTTCAGAATTAACTTAGATGCACTGCAATTAAAGGCATATGCCTTCAGAATTAACTTCGATGCTATGGAATAAAGGCATTTGCCCTCAGAATTAACATAGATGCTATGCAATTAAAGGCATATGCCTGCAGAAGTAACTTAGATGCAATGCAATTAAAGGCACATGCTTGCATAATGAACTTAGATGCTATGCAATTAATGGCATATGCCTGCAGAATTAACTTAGATGCTATGGAATTAAAGGCATATGCCTTCAGAATTAACTTAGATGCAATGCAATTAAAGGCATATGCCTTCAGAATTAACTTAGATGCTATGGAATTAAAGGCATATGCCTTCAGAATTAACTTAGATGCTATGGAATTAAAGGCATATGCCTTCAGAATTAACTTAGATGCTATGGAATTAAAGGCATATGCCTTCAGAATTAACTTAGATGCAATGCAATTAAAGGCATATGCCTTCAGAATTAACTTAGATGCTATGGAATTAAAGGCATATGCCTGCATAATGAACTTAGATGCTATGGAATTAAAGGCAT